AGAGAGGAATGACCTTGAACCACTGTAGTTCTCTTTGCATTTGCAGGGCTGCTCCAGAAATGCGAGCTAATTGAGACTCGGGGGCTAACATCCCTGCTATATGTAAGCAATTATTACCCTGATTATCAATACTATTAAAACGGTGCTTCCATGCAACAATGCTACAAAAGATGCTGAAAATTTTTTCTTGACGATGTTCAACCGCACACATGAAAAGGGTTCTTTTATTTTTATCAATTATATAAATTAAATGTGGTCTGGCTTTCAACATTGCAACCACAAACTCCTCCATGCCATTCTTTGTCGCTTGAAAGAAAGCATCATACACTTGACCTGCTGCACTTTCTTTGCGATTCAAACTTGCAATGTGTTCGCACATACGTTCTAGAAATGCAAGCGAATGTGTATGGATCAACTTCAAATCATAAATTTGCTTGATTCCTATATCAAGAATCAACAACATAAGTGAAAAAAGATTAATTAAAAATTATACAAGAGCCAAGGAAAATAGAGGTTTAGTTGAGTTGAAGCAGCATACCAGAGAACTTTAGAAGCATTAAGTCCAACGCACGAAGTCCAGAAAAAGCTGCATAGAGAAAAATTAGTACCAAACTATAATAGTTTTTCTCTTTTTATAAAAGGGTTTCTTTGATAAGTTGCATTGAATGTAAATACTTTGCATTTTGATGTTTTTCTCTTCATTCTGTTCTTGGGGAGGAACAGGAATTCGAACATCATCAGAGGAACTGACATCATTAGAGGAACTGTGTTCGTTTATCTTTATACCTTCAATATATAACAATGGATTAAAAATAAAATCAATTAACAATGCCAAACAAAGAAATTGAAAATTAATAAAATAGAAACTGGCGCTAATACTTACGATGATAAATTAAACATTGCCAAAATCCAAGACCAGTTCCACTAAAGAATGCAGACGGTTCATTGGACAATATTAGAATCGGAGTACCTTGGCTGCTGTCTTTGGTGACGGCCAAGCTTGGATATTTCCGAAGTAAATCTAATGAGATATCTGCTTTCTCAACACAAAAATATTTATTAGACAAAACCACACTGGCACGCAGATCATGTATCATATATGGCAAGAATACCAATGAACTTGGGATGAATGAAAGTTTTGCTAATTTTACCAAACATTTTGCCGATTATGGTATAATTGAGGAGACGAGGCCCATTTTTACCACCATCTGGGCTTAGTAATTCTTTATCGGTCACAGAATACAGATACTTGGTCAAATCCTTATCGCCAGAAGCAGATGCCCCTACAATGGGGATATATCCTTGCTTATTGGGGATGGTTGGTAACTGCGGGTTCTCTTTAACCAAGAATTCTGCTATCTTCTTCCCACTACGAGCAGCAAAGGAAAGAGCCGTACAACCATTCATATCTTGTATTTCCAAGTCTGTTTTTGACATTCTCTGGATCAATTTCTCAGCAATCCCTATAGCATTAGCGGAAACTGCAACATGAAGAGCAGTTTGATTGCTGCCATTAACTATCCGATTTATTGGATATGAACTCTCTCGGAAAATCTCATCTACTGTATTCCAATCTCCTTTGGTGATTTCCCACTCCAACCGCCTGGCCGTAGGCCTCTCTGTTCTGCCAAGTGACACTGCAAAAGTTGTTTAGCTTGTTATATTGCTATTTTAAGATGAACTAGATCTTAAGCGCGCCGGTTCGTCTTTGTTGTTTTTAAAGATTTTTAGTAATTATAAAATTTTATAATAGTAATTAACTATAAATACATTTTAGAATATTCTTTCTCATAATTAGTGTTTTTTATTTGGCTCGTGCATTATACAAGTTGTTTTTTATTTCTTTATATTAAACCTTACATTTTATATTATTTTTTATCAACTCTTAAATTTTATAAAAAAATTTTAGTCAAAAGATTTTAATTGAGTGATTAAAGCTGGGTTTAATATTACTTTTGATAATTGATAAGAGTTTTTTTCAAAAAGCTATATAAAGCAATGTTAGAAAGAAAGAATATTAGGAAAATTCAAGAAATATTCAATATTAATTTTTATCTCATAATCTAAACAAATCTTCTTCTTTTTTTTTACTATTATCTCAATTAAAGATTCACACAATATTTTCTTTTCTCTCAATTAAAAAACTAAAGTTAAATAAGACTATGAATTTACTTCTGACTTACATTTCAATTGTTTTAAAATTATAATCAAACAACAAATAACACTAAATAACACTTTTATTCATGCATTGCACGAACATTTTTAAAATTTTAAATCTATATTGTATGATTTTCTTATATTTTTGTTTTATCTTTTTTTTTTTCCAATTTTTAGCTGTTCATGGTAAGGAATAGAACATTTTTAGCTATAAAAGTCATTATTTAATTGAAATTTGAAGTCTCATAGTATGTTTAGGTTGAGGGAAATGGAGAAGAGGAAAGAGGTGAAGATTTTTTTATCCAATCAAACTATAATATTTACAAACATTATAATTTGATTGGTAAAAAAATCCTCCCCTCCTCTCAAGCCAAACATACTGTTAGTGTTTCTATGTTATTAATAGTTGATGTTGTAATAAAACAATAATTATCAATTTTAGCATATTACCTTTCGAACTTTGATTATAAATCTTGATATAATAATTACAATTGATATTACATTTTTCTTTGAGAAATTTTTGTACATTCATAGTTTTTGATTTTCATACTCGCTTTTATTTTTATCTTTGAGTTGGGAAATAATAATATTATTAAATATATAACAATAATAGCATTTTCATTTTTCATCTTTAAATTCATCTTAATCTTTTACATATTATCTCAAATATTAATATAGAAATAAATCATATTCAAATTGTTAGTAAATTGTTCGAGTTTTTTTTTTCTTTATCATTATTTTTGAAATTAATGATGAAATGGTACAATATTTATCATTTATATGCTACATTTTTAGACCTGGTAAACGGGCGGGTTGGGTCAGGTCAGAACGGGTAACGGGTCAAAACGAGTTGAGTTAAAACGAGTCACGGGTCAATAAAAACAGACTAACCCGTCCATCATGGGTCGCGGGTTGACCCAATTAAATTTTTTTTTCTTCATAATTTGTACCTATTATCATTCAAATAAAATTATTCAAAAGATTTAAAAAAAAAATTCAACATCTTATAAAAATAATTTTTTTCATTAATTTAATATATATATTTATAGTTCCTCAGAATCACCTTCTTTATTTTCCTTAAAAAAAGAGCACTAAT